AGCAAGATGAGAGAGAGAGAGATTGAGATCAAATTTAAAAATTAAGAATAAAAGAGGATATTACTACTAACATTTTGTAGAAATAAAGATTACAAAGGAATGCTAAGAACAATTGTTTGCAAACAGGTCAGATAAGTGAGATGCACTGGATACATTTCAGAAAGACACAACCTATCAAAACTTACTCAAGAAGAAATAAGAAATCTAAACAGGCCTACAAGGAAGACCAAAGTAGAAGCTTTAAAAATATCCTACAGAGACAATCTCAGAACCAGATGACTTCACTGGTAAATGCTACCAAACATTTAAAGGAGTAGCACTAATCCTTTGTAAATTCATCCAGAAATTAGAAGAGGAAGAATTACTTCTTAACCTATTGTTTTGACTCAGTATTATCAGGTGCCAAAATAAAGGATATTACAAGTAAAACCAACTACAGACCAATGTCCTTTATGAATATACATGCAAAAATCTTCAATGAAACAAAACTAGCAACATTTAATATTATATACCATGACCAAGTGGGATTTATCCCAGGAATGCTGGGATGGTCCCATATACAAAAATCAACCAACAAAATATACCATATTAACATAGTAAAGAAAAACCATGATTATCACAATAGATGCAGGAAAAACTTACAAAAATATAACACCCTTCCATGAAAAACACTATATAAAGTAGAAATAGAAGGGAACTACCTCATCATGGGCATTTGTGACAAACCCACAGCTAGTATCATACTCAGTAACAAAAGACTGAAGAAAAATTTCCCCCTAAGATCAAGAACAAGACAAGGATAGATGCTTTTACCACTTCTTTTTAACATTATCCTGGTTCTAGACAGTACAATTGGGCAAGAAAAAGAAAAGGAAAGGAGAATTATTTGTACTTTAAGAATACATGAGCTTATATATAGAAGATCCTAAAGAATGCACAAAATAGTACTTAGAGTTAAGTTTTAAAAATTGCAGGATGCAAGATCAACTTCCAAAAATAAGTACATTTCTAAACATTAACAATAAACACTTTGGTTGGATGTCAGTGACTCATGCCTGCAATACTAGCAACTCAGGAGGCAACCATCAGGAGGATTGTGGCTTGAAGCTAGGCTGGGAAAACAGTTTGTGAGACCTTATCTCAAAAAATCCCATCACAAAAAAAAAAAAAAGGGCTAGTGTAGTGGCTCAAAATGTAGATCCTGAGTTCAAGCCCCAGTACCTAAATTGAGAAAACAATTCCATGTATGGTAGCATAAATGAGAATAAATACTGAGGTAATAAATTTAATAAAAAGTATAAGATTCATGTAGTGAAAAGTGTAAAATACTATTGAAAGAAATTACAGAAGACCTAATTAAATTCGGAGACAATCCATGTTCAAAATGCTCAAAAGTCTTAATATTATTAATTGACCTAGAGATCGAATGTAATTCCTATTAAAAGCAGGTCCCAAAATGTATATGGAAAGGAAAGTGATACCAGAATATTCAAAACAATCTTTTATGTATGTGTGTGCTAGGACTTAGGACTTTCCACATGCTAGGGAGATGCTCCTAGCACTTGAGCCCAGCCTTCAGTTCTTCAAATTAATCTTAAAAAATTAATGAAATGAGAGAACTTATACTTACTGATCAAGACTTTGTAGTATTGATATGAGGATAAAATATAGAACAATGAATAGAATTGAATTTTCAGAAACAAATTCATACATTTATAATCAATCAATTTTCAACAAGGGTGTCAATAGACTTCAAATGGTGGTGAAACAACTGAACATCCACATGTAAATGAATGAAGTTAGATCCCTATATCACATCATACACAAAAATTAACATGAAAGCAATTAAAGGCCTAAATTTAAGAGCTAAAACTATAAACCTCTCAAAATAAAATGTGTGAATAATTATAATCTTGGGTTAGACAATTTTCTTAGATATAGAAAGTCTAAGTAATCAAGAAAATTATGGTTAAATTGTACTTCATTGAGGTTAAAATCTTTTGTACATCTAAGGGCATTATCAAGAAAATGGGAATAAAGCTGTTTCTGGTAAATTCCCTCTCTTCTTTCTTTTCTCTCTTTCTCCCTGAGCTGGTGAGGTTAGTTGGGCTTAATCAGTATGATGAACCAGGTGAACATCCTAGATTAGAAGTCAGAAGGCTGGAGTGAGAATTCTCACAAAACAAACACGTAGCCTGCTTTAATTCCAGATTTTTAAGCATGCCATTAACTTGAGCAAATGGAATTTTCCTTGTGGTGCAGCACAGCACAGTGGGGACTACCCTGGGCACGGAGCCAGAGCCTCACAATATTATGTCACCTGTACATAGAGGCAACAGTGCCCATCTCATATTGCTACCATGTGGACGAAGTGAAGTCAGTTTGAGAAGATCTTGGCACCAAACACTGATAACTGGCTTACCTTTCCTAATAATAAAAATGACAATTTCATCATCAGAAACCAGTGTGTTGCCTCTCTTGTTGATTAGAAGCAGAAAATTCATCTGTGTTATTTACCTCTATGTCTCCTGAACCTCAAAAATGCCTTGCACAAAGTGGGTGCTAAGTTAATATGAATGGACACAACACATGAAATAAATACTGGTTGAATGATTGGTTCATACCTAGTTGGAGGTACTTTTACCCTTTCCTGTATCTGTATCCAGGTGCCCTTTGGTTCCCTGAAAATTCTCATGACATTACCTGTGATTAACCAATACCTTTTAATTCTCTAAGTCCTACTATGCACTTACAACTCTAAAAGCAGCAGGGATTTAAGATTCAAAACTGTACTTGTGAATCAGACGATTTCTTTTTTCCATAACATAAAATTTTTCCCTATTGCTTCATAAGGACATGGCTCACATGTTAACACACAAATTTTCCAAGAACTTATTATGAAAGCCCACAAGTCATCATAACCAGGCATCACCAGCCATTCCCCTTGGTCTCCTACTAACTAGTGCTGAATTAGGAACCTCATGTACAACCTTGGTTCACAACAGTTCTGTGATGCCCCTGGAAAATGCAGAGCTTGCTTTAATTGAGGCAGTCTGTATTCTACCATGATGACTTGTGAATTCAGGAAAACTGGTTTGACTCAATTATTTGATCATATTCATGATTCACTTTATTTAAAGCAACCAAGCTGGTTTGTAGGCTCTAAGTTTGTTGCATTTCTTTCTTTCTTTACTTTTCTTTCTTTTTTGGCAGTGCGGGGGATTGAACCCAGAGCCTCATACAACCTAGGTAAGCATTCTACCACTGAGCTACACCCTCAGTCCTGCTTATTGCTTTTCTTAATGGAAATGATACCTAAATTTGCCATCAGTTTACATATGCTGGCAGCTTTAGTTGTTCTTCCTACTTCCTAATCTCCTGATATAAATTCCCATGTTTTGTTTATTTATGCTTGATGGGATTGGAGAGTTAGACTTCTAGACTTCGGTCCTACGTTCTTTGAGACCCAGAGCAAGTTCTTCCACAGAATGTGTGGTACTCTACAACAAAGGAAGAAAAAACTGATACACCATGGAGGGATTCAAGTTGAGATAACCTTAGTTTGTTATGTGAGGCCTTCTGGCTACTTTCTTCATCAGGGCACTTACCCTTTCCCCTGCTGCAATGGAAACTCCATAGGATCAGGATCATGGTTGTCATGTTTACACTGTGTCCTAAATGCTGACTCAATGCCTGGCAAGCAGTAGGTGTTCAGTGTGTGACTGTGTGTAAGCTTGTCTGAGGTTGTGAATAATTTTTACTTTACCATTTTGAAAACCTTTTATAATATATATTTGTATATAATTATTGATTCACAGATGGTTACAAAGATAGAACTGAGAGTTCCTATGTGCCTATTCTTTTCCATTTTCATCTGTTGTGACTCTAGATAGTTCACTTGTTTCAATATTAGACTGATATTTTCTCTAACTGTGATACTTTGTTGTGATTGGCAACATAAAGGTCCAGGTTATTCATGAGTCATTTAAAAGAAGATACATTAATTTTTGAAAACAGTCTAAATATATATAATGTGCACAAAACACTAAAAACCCTAATTAGATTTTGAGAAAATCTATTTCTTGTCATACAGTGATTAATATTAATGATTATAATCATAAATCATGTAATAAAAACTTACAATCTTTGTTTAGTGAGGCAAAAATTTGTGAAACAAATATATGGGGTCTACAGTCAAAACTAGAAATAACCTACATGTTCATCAATAGAGAATCAGTTAAATAAGTAACAGAACATTTATTTATTCAGTAGAATTCTAAGTATGTAAGTACCTCATAGCAATTATATATATATGCATATATGTGCACATATATATGTTTATGAGAAATACGGAGGTATAATATTCAGTTTTTAAAATCCTATTATTAAAAAACTAAAGTCTTTAATACAACTCTATCCTTGTCTCTCCCTCTCTTTCTCTCCCTATTGAATAGTTAGTAAACAGATTTTTAACTACAAATAATGATTGATAAAGTTTGGATGCTAGAAATAAGCAAAACACTTAAATTAGCTTCTTCTTCAAAAGCTAACAAAATCAAATCATTAACTTAGTAACAACTTATGCTTGTTTTACTTTAAATCATATTTTTACAACTTTATCATATATGTTCATCTTAAACAGATTTATTTGTTCTTTTTATAGATATACCAAACTCATAATATTAGCTCTTGTCTCCAGGTCTGAATGTTAAGTCAACACATGATTTAGAGAACTTCAGTTTATCAAGTATTGCAGTTCTCTGATTGTTTTGGAAACTCTTCTGATACTATGGACTTAGTTCAAGGCCAGTTAATACTACTTTTTCTTTTTTCTAACATGATAACAAATGGTTAGTTGTTTGCTTTGGTCACCCAAGGTCAAGTTATTGGGTCAGGGTCCTATGTATATAAAAAGCCTAGTTGGAGTCTCTGTTCAGGGACATCTTTACCTTTCTAGTCATAGATTCTCCTCTTCTGTAATTTTGTGTAAGATTTGCAAAATGTTGACCACATCTTTGATCTGGGGGATTGTCACAGCAGTGTGCTGTTGTTTATGGCTTATTTTTGGAATAAGGAGAAGGTAAGGAAAGTATTTTTAACATTATCTTTTAGTTCATTTATCTAGTGCTCTTTTGTCTTCATATTATTATACAATAAATTTGTTTTCTATATGTAAACACAGTATTTTCCTCTTTAATATTTTCAAATTAAAATTTTAATTCTAATTTTAAATGTGATACCATTTTGACTAAATCTAACAAACTACATGACAGTTTCCCTTGTTAGTATTCACATCTAGCAATGGTAATGCATGCATTTGTTAAACATAACTGAAAAAATTATAAGATCTTTGTGTGTGTTTATGTGTATATTACAGAGGAAGCCCAAATTAAGAAGAATACAATTGGTAAGCAGGAATCTGCAATGAAAAGGGTTTCTTTCTAGCAGATGAATTAAATAGATGTTCTGGCTAAATAAGTGTTCTCTGTTCAAGTAGTTCTTGTGCATAGATTCAACTTAAGCATGGATAACAGCACATAGTCTGAGTCTTTCATTCTATTACTCTTATTAATGTTAACCAACCATAGTGATTGGGAACGTTGTTAAATGTATATGACACCACTGTCACCTGTTATCTATAACCTATTTATAATTAGTTCAAGAAACACAAATCCAGACCAATAGCTTATTTAACTTCTGATTGGTTCACAGAGTATTGAAGGGGAGGGCATTTAGATATTCTCTGTTATGTCAACCTCAAAATGTGAGAATAACCCTGAGCTTATCTTCAGCTATGAGACTGCTGTGTGTTGTATACATTTTGAATTTTTTTTGTTCTTTGAGATATTTAATTCAGGCCTAATATTTTCTAGTTTTAATTAAAGTACCTAACTCTACACTATAAAAATAAAAATAATTGTTTTATATTCTGCTATTCTATCAAGAAGTACAGTGGTTTATGTTGGAAAATAAGTAAGTTTCTATTTTCTAATAAAACATTTAAGATAGCCTGAAAGAGCATTAAGTTATAGTTGATGATCCTATCAATGATTATCTTACCTGATTTCTTTTTATAATAGGCTAATTTCTCAAGAGAAATTCCCCTTCTCTTTGGTTATCATTGCAGAATAATATCTAGGGGTCAAAACCAGGGTCTTGTACATGCTAGGCAAGAGCTCTATCACTGAATGCTACTATCTTTAAAACTATGAAGATTTCTGATAACTTCAGTTCTGCAATTCTTTCTGTTGTTTGGTGTTCTACATCTCCAAAGAAAAGAAACTAATGAAAACTTGTAGATACTTAGACAAATGGTGCATAAAACAAATATAAACACTAGAAGGTATCTTCCTTTCTATATTGAGAACAAGAATCTTGCTGGCCTGACCCTTATAGCCCTATTTCTTTGAAAGCATAGTTGGCAGTCAGTATTTGTTGAATGTATGCAAACATGGATGGATGGGTGGATGGATTTTCACCAACATATCATGTTACTAGGTTAATAAAATGCATTATTTATAAAAGAACAGGGTCTCATCAACAAAAGAAGTGTTCAGGCTTGTCGTGGTGGCACATGCTTGTAATCTCAGTCACTTGGCAGGTGGAGGCAGGAAGATTGTGAGTTTGAAGTCCAGAAAAGTTAGGGAGCCCCTATCTCAAAAAAACAAAAGGGCTAATAGCATGGCTGAAGTGGTAGAGCACTTACATAGCAACCATGTGGCCCTGGGTTTAATCACCAGTACTAGAGAAAGAAGGAAAAATGAACTTCTAAGCTATAGAGTTATGAAGTTTGAATTTAGTGATACGAATTTAAAAACCTATATTAAAAAAAACTAGATATGTAATTTTTCCATATCTATCATATGTTTGTGTCTTGCAGACAAATGGGAGAGCCGCCTCTGGAAAATGGGTTGATTCCATACCTGGGCTGTGCTCTGAAGTTTGGGGCCAACCCTCTTGAGTTCCTCAGAGAAAATCAAAGGAAACATGGTCATGTTTTCACCTGCAAACTAATGGGAAAATATGTCCACTTTGTCACAAATTCTTTGTCATACCATAAAGTATTAAGTCATGGGAAATATTTTGATTGGAAAAAATTTCACTACACTACTTCTGCACAGGTAAGCAGTTTTGCATTCACACAGAATTCTACTTCTTTCTTATTTGTAATATATTTATCTCATAATTCTGATGTTCTTAGATTGTAGGATAGAGCTGTTGAGGAAAGTTACCCTATTGTGGAGAGTCTTAGGAACATAATAAATCAAGGTAAACATAGTTTCTTGGTACAATCTGTTAAAAATTCAAAATAGGTATCAATTTGTCATTTGCTAACCAACCAATGAGGCTGAAATAAAAATTAAATGTTTACTGAGCTAGATGATACTGTATCAATGAGGCAGGGACAAATTCATCACATTCACAATGTTTACACAACACATAGAGTGTAGTTGCTGGAAGATTTTAACATTTGACAGTTGTTTTTACCATGCACACTTGTTAAGGAATAAACCAGATATCATTTAGATGTAATATAAGAAGCTGTTCATACAGAAAACAATGAATACTTATGGAGTTTTTGCAAAGAAATATTGGACATGATGTTTGCCACTAAGTATCTTGAAGTCTGGTTAAGTTGTATCTACAAAGAATATAAAAGAGAACTGACTGTTAAATACACTATTGATTAGTATCAATTTAGTGCCATAGAATAAAGAACAAGAAACAGATGACCAGAGTAGTTCAGGGACGTTTCAATGAGGAGATGACCTTAAAGGAAGAGTATGATTTGGGCATTTTTAAAAAATGTACTATGAAATTCTACATGAGAAGGCCACATAGAGAATTATGAAAGGCTTTAATCTATTTTTAAGTCGTTTACTAGCCCTAGGTCAAGCTTAATTTTTTTCTTGCATTTTATTTGCTGTCAGGCATTTGGGCACAGAAGCATTGATCCAAGTGATGGAAATACCACTGAGAACATCAACAACACTTTCAACAAAACCCTGCAGGGAGATGCCTTGAACTCCCTCTCAGAAGCTATGATGGAAAACCTCCAACTTGTCATGAGACCTCCCGGCTTTCCTAAATCAAAGAGTGCTGCCTGGGTGACAGAAGGGATGTATGCCTTCTGCTACCGAGTGATGTTTGAGGCTGGCTATTTAACTCTTTTTGGCAGAGATCACACAAGGCAAGATACACAAAGAGCCCTCATCCTAAACAACCTTGACAACTTCAAGCAATTTGACAAAGTTTTTCCAGCCTTGGTGGCAGGCCTCCCCATTCACATGTTCAAGACAGCTCACAAAGCCCGAGAAAGGCTGGCCGAGGGCTTGAAGCACGAGAAGCTCCGCACCAGGGACCAGGTCTCAGAACTGATCCGCCTGCGCATGTTCCTGAATGACACGCTCTCCACTTTCGACGACACCGAGAAAGCCAAGACGCACCTTGCTATCCTCTGGGCATCGCAGGCAAACACCATTCCTGCCACTTTCTGGAGCTTATTTCAAATGATGAGGTGGCTAGCAACTTTACTTTTTTTCCTTATTCTGGTAGAAAGCACAAGTTCAACCATTTAAACTTTTTTTTATTTAGTCAAATATATTTAATAATTCCTCAAAGCTAGAGAGGTCTATTAATTAGTATTCTATAAAGATTTTTATTAAACAGGATAATGTCAGCATTATAAAATTAACTGAGATTTCAACATGTTTTATACTTAGGAATAGTTAGGATTCAGGATTGGATTTTTTTTTCCATTTTAACTTTAAAAACAGAAAGACTCAAGAGTACTTTTTCATACCATCAGTCAGAATGTAACACTTGTGCCTGTGTTTAGCATGTTCATTCAATCCTCACAAAAATATAAACACCTTTTTATAGAACATTGGCAATCCTATAGAAAGGGATGTCTCTGAAGCCACCAAACACTGAATGGGCAAACACCCAGTCAATTCAGTACCTCTGGCCCAGAGCCTGGGCTCTTACTTAACCCCACAGTGTTCCTCATAACACTTATTTAGGTACATGAATGGGTTCCTCATTATCATAAAAATATGTGTAAATGATTACTGACTTAAGGACAAGGACCAGTGCAACGGCCACACTTTTATTTGTGCATTCATGGTTAGTTTCTTCCCTCATTCAGTAATTGCTATCTTATTTTATATTTGATCAAAATAAATTCACATATTTATAGTAAAGTTACATCAGCTGTATAGGTAATTGTAACCATAGTTTATGATAGCCATACAAATACTTATCAGTCAAGATTTCTGAGACCCAATTGAGCATAATTAGGTAGCATTGATCCCTAACCATACCACTGAGCTTCCAACGATTTCCATGCCCTGAAATGAAGCAATGTTCATCTCACAGATTGAAAAAATAAGTGAAAAAGCTGTTCTACTTGAAGCTGTGGTTTGAATTTTAAGAGTAAATTCAAATTTCCATTTGGAATTTCATCAATACTCTGTAATTAATTCAGATGCAATTTTCTTTCTAAAATGACTCATTTGATTGTCTAACTCTTATTAGAATCACATATTTATTGAAGTCTGACCAAAGTCTTACTTTTATGTAGTAAAGACCCTCTAAGACCCCTCCTCGCCAATATTCAAGGACATAGACACAGTTACAAAAAGAGTACAAGTGGGAATGTCTTTTTCCTGAATTCCCTGGTTTCTTGACCACCTGTTTAAAAAAAAGAGGGGAAATGCCTATTTGCTTGAAGATCTCTGAATATGGACAAATTTATTTTCCATATCTCTGTTCTTTAATTTTTTATAGGAGTCCTGAAGCAATGAAAGCAGCTACTGAAGAAGTGAATAAAGTACTGGAGAATGCTGGTCAAAAACTCAGCAATTCAATTTATTTGAATCAAATGCAACTGAATGACCTGCCAGTACTAGGTGTGCTTGCTATGCTACATTTCATTTACTGTGTCATGCTAGTAACAATAATGGTCAACATGAATTATGTACTTACTGAGTTCTAGACACTTAGCTATGTATTTCCCATAATTTGTCTCTTTTAATATCACAACAATCCTATTACTAGAGGCTATTTCTATTTTTATAAACCAAGCAAAGAGACTAACACTGAGAGTTTAAGCTCTGGGACAGAATAATGGTGGAACCAGTGGCAGCATTAATGTGCATTTCTTGATAGTCTTTGCTCTCAACCAGCATCTGTACTCTGTTTTCCTTAGTATTACTCTTACCACTATTCTTATGGATAAAGGAAGCATGACATATGAAATAAAGGGGGCAAAGTACCATCTAGAAACCACAATTAGTTGCATGGTTTTGGGATGGGATTAAAAGTTATTTGATTTTTCTTCTTTTTGTTTTTATATGTTTTATATAAATACAAAAGTGTTGTATGCTTATAGTAAGAAAGAGTCTTCTTTGTTTTTAAAAATTGTTCTCTAAAGGAAAGAAACCAGTACATACTTTTAGGGTCAGGCTATCTTATAGGGAGGAGCAGGAGGCAAGAAACTCAGATTCCATGTTGAGCTATGCCTGACTTGGGATACTCTGGATATGTCACTTCTCTTTTGTGGGCCTTACTTTTCTCATTTGTAAATAAAGTACTCACCTTCTGTGCTTTTATAATCATGTGATGAGCTCCTAAAACATGATTAAGGACAGAGGCTGGAAGGCCAGCCTGGACTTCTCATGCCATCTCTAGATTTTAGCTGTTCTTAGGTGGCAATTTTTGTCCCTTTATGCCTTTACATGTCTGCAGAGTATAGTCATACAACATCAGATAATGTATGAATAAAAATGTTTTCTTCTAAATACTGAATTGAAGATGCATAAAACATGTGAAAAAGCATTTCCACATAAAATTGTTATCAGCTTATTTAATTTATTTATCAGTTTATTTAATTTCTACATAAAAGTGTTATCAGTTTATTTAATCTCAAAGTGGTAAACTTTGAATAAAAATGGGTTACTAATTTTTCTAATTTTATTAACTATTTAGTGATATAAAGAAATAAGATTATTTTTCTGTAAAATTATGGACGTCTAGTTCCTGTTGATGACCAATAAGACTGTATCTTTATCAAAAGTTTATCATTAACTCAGATGGTCAGATTAAAAAACACATCAGATACAATGAATCATTGATAACAGCATAGTGGTAACAGAAAATAATTTGGGAAGCTTTTATGTGGTCAGCTTCTTATTTTCTGTTCATCTTTGTGATATAAGCCGCCAGAAATTTTTTGGACTCTGTATTATGGCCTTCAAATACTTAAATTGTTCTTCTCTCCCTTCCTTCTTCATTCCTTATCCTGCTTCTTTTTCCCCCCATTTCTTCTAAATTATTTAGACAGTATCATCAAGGAGGCTCTGAGGCTTTCCAGTGCTTCCCTGAACATCCGAACAGCTAAGGAGGATTTCACTTTGCACCTTGAAGATGGTTCCTATAACATCAGAAAAGATGACATCATAGCTCTTTATCCACAGTTAATTCATTTAGATCCAGAAATCTATCCAGACCCTATGGTAAGTGACTTCTCATCAAAGTTTACCATATAGGTGATATCTACCAGACCTAAGAAAAAGAGGGCATTTACAATCATAGAATTGATTTGATCATTGTAGCCATAGAGATTGGCCCCATAATAATATCAAATATTCATATATTTTGGAATATTTAGAGAGTGGCATGAATTTTTAATTCTTAGCCCTGATATCTCTCATCCCATAGTCTCTACAGACTATATTTGCAGTCATAATAATAAAGCTGCCTATCTTATCCCTTAAAAGCACCTGCTCTAAATCCATAAAATTAGGGGTGAATATATTGACTCCTGTAGTTTCTGATTGGAGCTATGCTTGCTAGCTCTGCCTGACTAGAACCAGCCTACTTCTGGTTGCTAGGCTTGATTAGGAGGTGTCATAAAGTTTTCTCAGTCCATCAGTTCTTGTTAAGCTCTGTCCCTTATTATTCTCTGCTCAATGTAGGGTATTTGTTAACTCACTAATGGACTAGATTAAAAAAGAAAAATATTCTTTGGAGCTTCCAAGTAAAGAAAGATAAATTTCTTTCAAAGTAATTTATAGGCATGTTTTCTTTGTATTTTCATTGCAGACTTTTAAATATGATCGATATCTTGATGAAAACAGGAAGACAAAGACCACTTTCTATAGCAATGGAATCAAGTTAAAGTATTACTACATGCCTTTTGGATCAGGAGCTATGATATGCCCTGGAAGATTGTTTGCTGTCCAAGAAATCAAGCAATTTTTGATTCTGATGCTTTCATGTTTTGAACTGGAGTTTGTGGACAGCCATATTATGTGTCCCCTTTTGGACCAGTCCCGCGCAGGCTTGGGCATTTTACCACCATTAAATGACATCGAGTTTAAATATAAACTCAAACATTTGTGAATATGTGGTTAGAAGCACAGGAGACTAGATAATGTTATAGAATTGCTGAGCACCATCGATAAACAGTCCCTTAGGACATATGAATTTAGTTGTCATAGAGGTGGTTCAGCATGTCCAGTTCTGCTCAACACTGCTTTCTTGGGAATCTAACACTTCAGTGATGGTTTCCTAATCCTATCTCAGACTATGCTAGTGAGAATAGCTACTTTCTATGGGCACAATCATTTGTTCTCACTTATATAAGTCAATGAGAATTCATATGGCCAGGGATTGACCTTCACTATGTTCAGAGGAAAATGCCTTTCTTTTTTCTCAAAATGAAGATACTCCAACTAGCGATTTTTTTCCTACGGAAATTGCTTTATTTTTATAAAAATCACTCAACCATTAGAAAAAGGAATGAAATTCACGTTTTAGTGAAATGGCATTATTTTTTGACTAGTAAGATTCTTCAGAGCATTTAAAAAGATTATATCATGCCTTGTAATAAAAAGGAGGTGCTGGCAGAGTGGCTCAAGTGGTAGAGTTCCTGCTTAGCAAGGGTGAGGCAAACCCAAGTACTATCAAATAGATAAATAAAAAGGAAATGTTTTTCACTTTTCTCTACATCCTGTATTCAGAGCTTTAAAAATGATGATCTTGGGGTCCTGAAGACACTAAAGGCTGTTTGATATCTTCCCTTATGTTTTAATTTATTGTTGCTGGAAACTCTGTAAATGTTGGGTTACAACTCTCTTACTTTTACTTGATTCCATATGAATGAGATTTTTGAGATTAAAAAGGCACTTTTTCTTTCACTACTAAATATGCATTAGTGAAAAGAACAAAGCTCTTATGTGGTAAATGGTGTGTATAACATGACCATTTAAAAGCTTTAGTTATGGAACATACAGAGTTCATTACATATAGGTTGACACTATTTGTTATTGAAATATATTTTATCTCTAAAAGAATTGCATTTGAGAAAAAATAATTTAAGGCTATATGATAGTGTTTAAATAAAGTGTACAATGATGCTTTAGTAAAGTACTTTAAATATTAGGGATATTAGCTATATTGTTTCATTGATATTTCTGTATGTATTTATATGTAAATTATATTTATCTTTTATTCTTGTACCATAAGTATTATGATCTTAAGAAAATATTCTAACATTTGGCAATTTTGAAATTATTCATCTTTCAAAAATAAAAGTATTAATGTATGTTTTAAATTTTGAAATATTAAAAATGTTTTAAAACATTCACTCACTGATAAGCTATAATTTTATTCCTGATTTGTTAAAATATTTATATTTTTGAATATCTCAAAAATATTCAAAGTAATCATTCACTCAAAAATTCCCTCATCGTACATAAAATTCATTTTTGTGTGGTGCTGGTATTAAACTCATGGCCTTACATGTTAGGTAAGTGTTCTACTACTATGTTACATCCCAGTCTTCATTTAAAAAATTTTAAATGTTGCTATTTAGTATCACTATGGAATTAACTCCTAAGTAGGTTATATTTCTTTTCATTTTTCTCTATTTTTTGAACAGGGTCTTGCTACATAATCCAGACTGTCCTCTAACTTGTAATCCTCCTGCCTTTACCTCTTAAGTAGACTATTTTTCATATCAAGAAAATTAAATTTATTTGGATGGGTTTCAATATTAACAAAATTCTTCTGGGTTCTGGTGACTGACACTTGTAATCCTAGCTACTTGGGAGGCAGAGTTAAAAAGAATCACAGTTCAAAGCCAGCCTAGGCAAATAGTTCACAAGACCCTATCCTGAAAATGCCCAACACAAAAAAGGGCTGACAGAGCTATACATCTGAGAAGAAATAATAACCAGAATATCCAAAGAGCTCAAAAAACTAACCTCTGAAAGAATAAACAACCCACTGAATAAATGGGCAAATGAACTGAACAGACAATTCTCAAAGGAAGTACAAATGAAGCATATGAAGAAATACTGAACATCCTTGGCTATAAAGGAAATGCAAATCAAAACTACATTGAGATTCCATCTCATCCCAGTCAAAATGGCTATCACCAATAACACAAACAACAACAAATACTGGAAAAGAATACTGTTATACCGTTGGTGGGAATGTAAATTAGTGTAACTGCTATGCAAAGCAATGGCATCCCTAAAAAACGAAAAATAGAACCACCATACGATCCAGCAATACCATTCCTGGGCATATATCAGAAGGAATGTGTTCAGGACATGATAGAGCCACTTGCACACCCATGTCTATTGTAGCACTATTTGCAATAGCCAAGCTTTGGAAGCAGCACAGATGCCCCACAGCTGATGAATGGATTAAGAAAATGTGGTACATATGCATGATGGAATTTTATTCAGTCATGAAGAACAATGAAATTATGCTGTTTGCTGGATGGAACCGGAGAAGTAAGACAAGCTCAAAAAGTCAAAGGTCATATGTTTTCCATCATATGTGGAAGTTAGACCTTTAAGTTAAAAGTATATATAGATGCATACATGATCATATATAAATACACACATGAACACATATAGTGAGAGAACAAAATTGTATTAGTAAATCTGTTTGAGGGGACTAGGGGAGGTGGGAAAGGGAAAGAAAATGTTAGAGAATGAAAATGTACTGTAAGCTGTTGAATATTAGGGGAGCAAGTTGATAGAAAATGAGTAAGTACTGGGGGGAGGGTTAATTTGATTAAATCAGGCCTGAAGTACTAAGGTGAAACTCCCTTGGATCATCAATATACACTTAAAAAAATGAAGAACAGAAGGATAAAATAGATCTTTTTCAGTGGGAGGTGGGTGGGCATAAAGAAAGGGTGAATGAGGGTGAATATGGTGGATGTATTTTGCATTCACATATGAAAATAAAGGAATGAAATTGTTGAAATTGTTCTAAGAATGGGAGGAGAGAGGAAGAGGGAGAACAATGGAGAGGGTAAATCTAACTAAGATATATTATGAGCACATATGTAAACATCGCAGTGTATCCCCCTGTACAAATACATGTTAATAATTTTTTTCTTTTATTCATATGTGCATACAATGTTTGGGTCATTTCTCCTCCCTTCTCCCCACCCCCTCCCTTGCCCTCCCCTGGCTCCCTCCTTCTCTCCCCTTACCCCCTCACTACCAGGCAGAAACTATTTGCCCTTATCACTTATTTTGTTGAAGAGATAGTATAAGCAATAATAGGAAGGAACAAGGGTTTTTGCTAGTTGAGATAAGGATAGCTATACAGGGAGTTTACTTGCATTGTTTCCTGTGCATGTATGTTACCTTCTAAATTAATTCTTCTTGAACTAACCTTTTCTCTAGTTCCTGGTTCCCTTCTCCTATTGGTCTCTGTCACTTTAAAGTATCTACATTAGTTTCTCTGCGTTGAGGGCAACAAAATGCTATCTAGTTTTTTGGGTATCTTACCTATCCTCATAACTCCCAAGTGTGCTCTTGCTTTATCATGTGATTGAAGTTCAATCCCCTTGTTGTGTTTCCCCTTGATCTAATGTCCACATAGGAGGGAAAACATATGATTTTTGGTCTTTTGGGCCAGGCTAACCTCACTCAGAATGATGTTCTCCAGTTCCATCCATTTACTTGTGAATGATAACATTTCATTCTTCTTCACGGCTGCATAAAATTTCATTGTGTATAAATACCACATTTTCTTAATCCATTCATCAGTAGTGGGGCATCTTGGCTGTTTCCATAACTTGGCTATTGTGAATAGCGCTGCAATAAACATGGGTATGCAGGTGCCTCTGGAGTAACCTGTGTTGCATTCCTTTGGGTATATCCCCAAGAGTGGTATTGCTGGATCACATGGTAGATTTATGTTTAGATTTTTAAGAAGCCTCCAATTTTTTTTCCAGAGTGGTTGCACTAGTTTACATTCCCACTACCAGTGTAAAATGGTTCCTTTTTCCCTGCATCCTCGCCAACACCTGTTGTTGGAGGTGTTGCAAATGATGGCTATTCTAACAGGGGTGAGGTGGAATCTTAGTGTGGCTTTAATTTGCATTTCCCTTATTGCTAGAGATGCTGAGCATTTTTTCATGTGTGTTTTGGCCATTTGAATTTCTTTTGAGAAGGTTCTGTTTAGTTCACTTGCCCATTTCTTTATTGTTTCATTAATTTTGGGAGAATTTAGTTTTTTAAGTTCCCTATATATTCTGGTTATCAGTCCTATGTCTCATGTGTAGCTGGCAAATATTTTCTCCCACTCTGTGGGTGGTCTCTTCAGTTTAGAGACCATTTCTTTTGTTGAGCAGAAGCTTTTTAGTTTTATGAAGTCCCATTTATCTATGCTACCTCTTAGTTGCTGAGCTACTGGGGTTCCACTGAGAAAGTCTTTGCCTATACCTATTAGTTCCAAAGTATTTCCTACTCTTTCCTGTACCAACTTTAGAGTTTGGGGTCTGATATTAAGATCCTTGATCCATTTTGAGTTAATATTGGTATAGGGTGATAAACATGGATCTAGTCTCAGTTTTTTGAAGACTGCTAACCAGTTTTCCCAGCAGTTTTTGTTGAAGAGGCTGTCTTTTCTCTTCATATATTTTTAGCGCCTTTGTCAAAGATAAGTTGGTTATAGTTGTGTGGCTTCATATCCAGGTCCTCTATTCTGTTCCACTGGTCTTCATGTCTGTTTTTGTGCCAGTACCATGCTGTTTTTATTGCTATTGCTTTGTAATATAGTTTGAAGTTGGGTATTGTTCTTTTGACTGAGTATTGCCTTGGCTATTCGTGGCCTCTTGTGTTTCCATATAAAGTTAACAGATTTTTCAATCTCTTTGATGAATGTCCTTGGGATTTTGATGGAAATTGCATTAAACATGTAGATTGCTTTTGGGACTATAGACATTTTTACTATGTTGATTCTACCAATTGATGAGCATGGGAAATCTCTCCACTTTCTATAGTCTTCCTCAATCTCTTTCTTCAGAAGTTTATAGTTTTCCTTGTAGAGGTCGTTCACATCCTTTGTTATGTTTACACCTAGGTATT